GTGTGTGTGTGTGTGTGTGTGTGTGTGTGTGTGTGTGTGTGTGTGTGTGTGTGTGTGTGCACGCGCGTGCACGTGCGTGCGCATGTGTATGTGAGAGTAAGTTACTAAGTGAGTGTGAGAGTGAGTGAGTGGTATTTGTCTGTGTGTCTTTGTAAACACTTCCACATGCAATGTTTGTTTGTGAATATAGTGACCATCTGTTTCAAATGTTCATCACTAAAAGTTTGCAATATTTTGAATTAGAGTAATATGAACCTAAAACTGCAACACAGGAACTGGTGCAACTACACTCAGATCACAATTCAAATAAATTTTTGCACTGATATTCTCCTAATAGATGGATATACTACATTTATTCCTCAAAAAGAAAAAAAGGGAAAAAATTGCTAATGTCACCAGCCAAAAAAAAACAAAAAAACATGTCAACCTTGTTATCTAATGATAAGACGATGATCTAGCATGGCACATAAAATTCTAACACTTCTCTGTTCTGCAGAAGCGGAATGTCAAGCCATGCAACTATAGATACTTCAATATACTTACCAACTTCTCTTCTCCATTCTTTGCCGACTGTAAGAACATAAAAGCACACCATGGCATGATGAGTTGCACGGGATAAAGGAAATCTATCCATGAAGTGCTTAAAGCTAATGTAATATGTTAAGCATGAGCCTTACATGTACTCGTATCTACACTCGCAAAAATATTTCTTACTATACACTTTTGCCGTACTGTATCACATGACTGACGAACAGGACATATTGGGAACAAATGTAAATACTTGATACTGTAGTAGGAAGTATATACAGTGTTCAGTAACAAATGGTGCCAATAAACAAATTAAGAGCAAAAAATATGTCCACGGTAAGTCAAGCACTCAGTAGAGCGAAGAACAATTACTATGTCTATAAGTGGTATAAACTACCAATTGAGCACGTCTCCGTTCAAGGAAGATTCATCAAAAGTCCTCGGTAAATGAAAATCCATATTCACAGAAGACGCAAACAAACCTTCAAGAACTCAACCACAGCTCAATGTTAGTACATATACCCACAGTGTCTGTAGGTTGTCTGGGAGTGGGCAGAACCTGAGACAGACAAGTCACCCATGAGCCCTCAACCTCCTTCAGTTGGATGTGCTTTATTGTGATTGGTTTATGACCAGCTACCAAATGGGTCAAACCCCAAGCCACAGCAGGGGGGAATCAAGCCACACATACCTCCCTGGTCAGCCCTCTCCCCTCTCCTCCACTGGCACTAAGTTAAGTAATGTCCATAAACCTTGAAATGAACTTGTAGGAAAAAAAAAGTCAGGCAATGTTGCTGCACAATCATTAAAATCAGTAGTCTAAACTGGCTACTGGAACACATGGCTAGAGAGAGGAGGCGACAGGGATGCAGTTACCCCAGTAGTGGTAGCTTCTGGTTCTGGCCTTCATGGGCTGTACTTTGATGTTCACAACTACACCTTTGCTGTTTCTCCACCATACCTCACATCAATACACACACTAAAAAAAATAAATAATAATAATAAATAATAAATAAATAAATAAATAGAAATTATAAATCGTCATTTATATGAAAATATATAAATACAAATATAAATCAACTTCAACACAGTTACCATACAAGTGTTCCTCTTTCTTTAAAGCTCTCAGGCCTGTTTCAAGACTCATGTACCGGTTGGAGAGTTTGAAATTACAGCTGGATATTAGGGGCAGTTGTGAACAGCAAAGACGTTGCCAAGGTAACCTCAAACTCCTTACGAACTTACCCTCAGTTTGGGGTTCTTAAGTCTTTGGAAATAGCGCTCCAACTGAAACAAGGAAAAAGAATGGAGACCAATCATTATATACCAATTCATAATATTAAACTAAAAGAATTTAATTTTGAATTTTGAGAGGGCTGAAAGCTGAGTAAGCTTCATGTATAGGCTTCAGGCAGGTAAAAGTCTGGATCAAGGTTCAATGAATTATCAACTGTACCGAATAACAGTATGATTCACTAATCAGGGAAAATTACAGAAACTAAATCTATCAGAAATGACTGTCAAACTGATAATGAACCAAATGAACCTATTAAGTTCTGCAATGGGTCTCAAGTATATATGTAAACTACAATATTCTTCGCTATAATTAACTTTCCTCAGTAATTTCCAATCATCCCAATAATGACTCCAAAAGACCTCAAAACATCATGATCAAAATTTCTACAGCCTGGCTTGAACATGAAGTGTAAACAAAGCTCCTCCCAGAGCGGCCGAAAAATGTCTCTCACAGTCGTTCTTGCGCACTGATATTTTACAAATGCTCCAAAGGATAAACTTTACTGTACATGGTGTTTCTCTCGACTAATTCAAACGGGTTAAACAAAACTTTCTGTAGACAATTGGCATACTCAGAGCTGTGCGAGGCAACTGAACTATACAATTAAGTAGTTTTTTCTACATTTTAATAATTCAATGAAGTGATTGGTTTGTTAAAACTTATATTTAAAAACTATATATCAATATCATCATATGACTTTGTTCAATGCATTTCAAAATAGAAAAAAGGCAAAAATGTACAAACTGTATCTGATTCCATATTCTATCAAGCAAGATGAAACAGATGCAATTGCTGGAAGATAATAACAAACTTTTTTAACATCAGACACCAAAGTATCTCCAAAAAAAAAGAAGAGTCTAAAGATGATAGGGAATTCACCTCGATATACTGACTGCAAAGAGAAACCAATCTACAGCTCCTCAGGACTGCTATAGGACAAGAGGGACAGACAGATAGGAATACCCATTCAATTGCTACTTCAAAAACTGCTTGGTCTTTGTCAGAAGTCAAATGTAAAGAAGTCTGGTTGTTCATATTCAAGTCATATAAAAACAACATTCAAGGAAAATGAAAAACACATGAAGTTAATAGGATTTACAACATGGAGTTAATATATGAAAAAATCAAATCTAGAAATTATTTGTGGATAGCGCAAGGATGGGGGGAAACCACTACAAGAAAGAAGGGTTACCATCAACACAGGTTAAGCTTAATTGTCCTCTTCTCCAGTATTTTGACAAGGCAATTTATAATTCTCAACATGGAATGTTTTTATGCCCCTTCAAAAGAAAAGCTAAAAAATATATAAAAAGTAAAAACAGAAAATGGTAAAATCCTTATATATGTGGAACAGGAAAAAGTATTGATATATTTGCAAATACTCAGTGAAGAATAACTACATTTATATAATGGAATACTTATAATGTGGTTCTGGATAACCAAGACTATTACTAATAACAATCATGAAAACTTTCATCTCTTGAGTTTGAGGAATTAGCACTCTTCCTAATAAAAAAAATATATGCTTCATGTGAGAAAATCTATTCAGATGATAAAAACAAATTAAAATTCCAATGGAAAATTTATCAATAGATTTTCAAATCATACTTTTACATATATATTTAAATATTTTTTTTCTAATAAATTCAGAATTTCCTTTAATTAGATAAATGCAGTTAACTAACAAATGCCCAACAAGATTGTGAACTCATGATTTGCATTATTCATCTTCAGTCAGTGAAATTTTTGTGAAGTACCAAGCTGCTCAGCAAAATGATGTCAACACAACGGGACCAGCGATTTTTTTCCTTCTACCCACAAATCACAATATCGTAATAGCAGAATAAATTAGTCAACAACATAACAAACCATTAGTGTGACTCTTAAGACCAGATCATGCTTGTTACACTTAGTATCCACTTACTGCACAAGAATATATATGAAAGATTTCAATATCACAATAATGAATATTTCATAGCAAATCTGAATATTCATATAACACTTTCACCATCATTAATGTGGCATTATTACATCAGCTTTCCAGAAAAAATATAATGAATGTTATTTGTATGTTAATAATGCTGTGGGAATACAGTTGCATAAGCAGCAATGCGAACTCAGATTTCTTAGTAAAAGATCAGCCATGAAGAATTTTCAAGAAGCAGAGGTGAAAGGCTGAGACAAGCAAACAAAAATGAAGTGATTTTAAGTTGTCTAGTCTCAAAACTGCTGCCAACATTTTAAAAAATGATCACATCATTTATACAAACAGAAAATATCAAACTGTTCTAACCACTTATAGCTAGAAATAGAAGATAACCAGCTTTCTTGTATATTGGCAAAAAAAATAATAATAAATAAAAAAAATAAATAAATAAAAATAAATAACAGATAAAAACTTATCCATAATAACTATACAATCTATCTTAATCTATAGCATGCAACAGCACATGTTAAAACTAGAAATGAAAGATAACCAGTACCAGCTATTATAATTACTTAAAAATATAGCACATCCACTGTGTAAATAAAAAAAAATGAATCTGTTTCTTATATCATTAACATTTTCCTCACTTACTTTACTCTTATCATTAAAACTATCATGGACCTTCACATCATCAACTTAAACTTTTCTATGAAGATCTTGCAGTTCACATGAGTACATGAGATATGACTACCCGTTAAAAAAATTCCTGTATATATGCTGTCTGGTTGTTCTCCTTTCTTGAGTGTTTAGGATTATTATATATAATTACAGCTATTTGGTCTATAGTTGTGTTTACAGGGTCCTGATGTCATCCTTGAGAGAGGATAGCTAGGAAAGGAAGTAATAAAACGGCATGAATGTAAAAGTGGATGAGAAACAGAGAGGGCAGAAAAAGGGGAGAGAGAAGGCAAAAGGGTAAGAGAAAAAGAGAGGGTGAAAGTGAAAGTGTGAGTGTGTGTTAAGGACAGGAATTAATGAGGGGTAGTAAGCAGTAAGAATATTGTCTTTATGTCCTTTTAGGCATATCATTCAATAGCTAATATTGACTACTGTCAAAGGAATAATACATCCCAAAAATTAGTGATGATTCAGGCTACATCTGTCAGCCAAATAATAGATTACTTTAAATATCTTACTTAAGGAATATCTATCATCTTTGTATTTCACTTGTCCCTGATGTCTAACTCT